ACACCGAAATTTTCGGTTATTTTAAAATGCTAGATTGTATTCCTTACCCCGTAAGTAAAACTGATGGTAATTATAACCAAGATGTTAGTCAAAACCTAGAAATGTTCGATTAAATGATTCATTCTGAATATGAAGTTAAGGGTTAAGAAAAAGTAAAGATTGCTATTGAAAGTAGAATAGGGGATCGGTCGTTTTTGGATGATTTACCTAAGTTCGATGTAAAGTATCAATCATCTTCAATAATCAGAGATTGTTTGGGTGATCTGCCTAGATTCGTTCGTTACTAAATACGGTCATAGGTCTTGATATTTTGAAATAGTTTTACCTAACTAGTTATATTTATTGACTTAAAGTCTATTGTAATACTAAATACTCTAAAACTGAAATGAAGGTATTTTAGTGATTCATACATTTCATACATCCATACATTTTTTTGGTGGAATGAGACACCATTACATTGAAATCAACACAAAAAAAATAATACTAACCCTCTATAGGGATATGACTTAACATCTATATGTAATGAGAAAACAGTTTTCACAATATAGAAATTATTCCTAAATATTTTGCAATGATATGTATTTTGTAATTGATGCATTAAATCTTGTAATGGCCGTCCAACGCTCCCAGATTTTCAGAGATTTATTTATTCAATTGTCTTATTGTCACTATCCAGAATTGGTTTCCATAGTATTCTTATTTGAAATATCATACCTAATATTTGTACAAATCATAATAGCAAATATATTTTGTTATGGACCAATATTTGTAGTTGTTAAAATATACTTCTGAATGATAATAACACAAATTACTTAGTAAGTGTATATGTAAATGTTAGTAAATAAAATAGGTCAGTTTCTCCTCTGATAATATTCTAATTACACAGAGTGAAAGTAAACTAAACGGAAGTAGCAATATATATTCAAATGAATAGTCTGTTGTGATTGACTTAAATTAAGGATGGTATTCAATATGAACTGACATCAACTTTCTATTCTATTGAGCAGTAGTTACATTAGTTTTAAACGATTGAATATGTATGTTTACTCATAAATAATAAATAAGATGGGCTATTGAAATTTTTACAAACCACGGTTAATGAAGTTCAATCATATTCAGATAAAAACCGTTGTCACTGATTAAATAAAATAATTACCACTTTTTATCATTAATCGACTGAAGAATATCATGTGATCCATTACATTATATCACTTTCACTATGTATGTTCCGAAGTTCAAAACTTTAATGGTACCCTGAATGTATGCTATTGAAAGATTCTATATTAAAAGGATACAAATATCTGGTGTCCAGTGTTTCCACATATGATATCAGATTGTGGCAGTAACCATCTTTAAAAAATATTTATTTGCAACTGAATTACATCTTCATGATTTAGTATTAAAACAACAAAGTGTTTTCTTTTGCTTTTGTTTACTTTATCAAGACTCTTTTAACACTTACATTACATTTAATAAAGTGTACAAAATCTCTAAAGTATTGCATACCCTTTTTCACCTTTGTATATAACTAACCTCATATGTATTCAAGTATTTTATGTTTCGATATATTTGGTAAATGTATATTTATTGATTTGGCACCAGATTGTCTAGTCTGTTAATAAATCAATTATGTCGTTAGTAATAAAACGATTGAGTAAAAATATTTGCACAGAGTTAGTATCAACAATGAATTAATTAAAAGAATTTCGAGTGAACACATATAAAATGAAAATCCATTACAAATGTATTAAACACGTAAGAATAACTAAATAAAAACACTATATTTATTCTTTTGTAAGTTAACTACTATTGTATGCATCTGTTGGCATGCAATATCTTGGTATGTATATGAATTTACTAATAGTATACATTATTTGTATTGATATTTATAGTCAAGATTCATTTATTCAATGTTACTGATAATGGTAATTACGTGAAGTTCATAACGTTTCGGATTTAGAAGCCATTTTATTAAAATAAAGCCGAATTCAATTACTTGACAGTTAAAATCAGTCAGTCAGTAAGTAACAATATAGAACTTCGTACTTACGTACGTACATCAGTTCAAGTCGCCACATTACATTAGCACACACATACAACTGTCGATTCCAATCCCGTAGTAGTACAGGTAGTAAGAGTATAAACAGTAATCGAAAACACTAGGGTTTGAAAACGTTATTCAAGGAGTATAATCCAGTGGAATAAATTTGGAAAGAAGAAAAGGAACATGAAGAATTTAGGAGATTAGAATGTGGAAGAACACAAAACTGGATTCACCTGCGTCATTGCAAATGATTTTGATCCATGTTATTCAAAGTGTTTAACCATCGGTTGCTATCATCTAGCGGTCCCCAACCAGGTAGTCTATACCTACCAACATGATTCAGTTCACTTGTTAGTGACTTTATGGATTTGTGCTATGCTTTGGTCTGGCCGACCCTAGTTTTCTTCCAACATACTCCTACACCATAAAACATCGTTCGTCGGAGCAGTCGGTGGTTGGGCATACGCAACACGTGTCCCAGCCATCTCAACTGATGAAGTTTCACTACTTCATCAATGGATTTGCCATCATCACCCAGAACCCGTTTCCTAACAACGGTATTACTTAATCGGTGGTCCCAGGATATACGAGCAATGTTTCGAAGACACCTATGATCAAATACTAGTAACCTATGAATATCCTCTATTCTTACCGGTCATGTTTCATTACCATAAAGTAGGACAGAATGAACTGATGCGCAGTAAACCCGTCGTTTGATTGGTAGACGGATATCTCGCCTACGCCATAAATGACGCAAGTTAGATGATGATCGACACGCTCAGTTACATACTGTCCAGTATGAAATATCCAATTTATATTGAATTATTATTTTAGTTAATTCAGTCAATATTTTCTGTAGTTTGTAAGTTTAAAAATGAATGAATGTATCTGTTAGATTAACAACTTATAAAGTACTTAATATTATTTTCAATAATTAAATATATCAGTCATAATAACTCGAAAATGGCTACACAGACCTTTTATTGTATGAAGAAAATTCTCTATCAAATCAATGTTATCCATTTCCTCTTGATTTCACAATATATTTTTAAAAGTTTCGATTAGTGTTGTGATAGAACAACACTAGTTTGACTATATTGCTAATGACTCTGTCACATTAATGTACCTAGATCCAAGAAAAGAAAGAAAATACTTATTATAAACGAAGATTTATATGAATCCGAAACTTTATTAAAACTATATTTGAATGAATTTTTTATGTTTCATATACATTAGTTGTCAATCAGATTACCAAAAAAAATTTAACGGGATACGATTTGTCACCAGTAACCAGTAACTTGTTGGATGGAGACAATTCATTTAGACAGGGATTTTAAAATTAAACTGACTTTATCAACGTATAAGTTACAAGACATATTTAGAGTTATCCATTAAATAGTCAAATATAGAGATGAAAGATACCACGAACTTCAGTTGTGAAGTCAATAATAATAATAAGCAAAAAATCTTATCTTATCAAGCTTATCATGTTACATTTGAGCCTTTCATAATTATATATTGATCAAGTAGTAGTGTGACAGATGTCTTTGATTCGTCTTTTTCACTATCAGGCACAATTCAAAATGACATAAATCTTTTTTTTTTTTAAAGAGGTACTAATACACTGCATGGTATCAATGAAAGTGGTTTAAGCAATATTTAGCTCAAATTTTGTAGTTTTGAAGAAAATCATAACAAAACCAGTAGTTGAAACGGGAATTTTCATTTGTTAAACGTACAATAATATGTAGCAAGCCCATTCAACTATTGTATTATTTGTCTACTCACTGTAATTCAGACACTAATTCACTATGTTAATTTCTGTGTGTGTATGATTGAGCGCGTGTCTGCACATTAACCTTAATCGGTTCTCCTATTGGTTGTAACATACAGATAATCAATAATTTATCCACACTTGATTGACACTCAAAAATATATATGGATTTTTAACTCTCTCTCTCACACACACACTCTCTCGTGGTTTCACAGTGTGCTGGCTCACTGTACGCTTGCGGATGTTATTTATCTTTAACAATAAAATATCTCTACAACTGATGTTCAGGCTTGTGAATAATCTCCAGTAAATCCATAATTCTACTAGGAGATTTAGCCTACCTTAAATACTCAGTTAACGGGATATCATTTATTGGAGTCAGATATAGAGGAAATTAGCCTCAACAATTACTAAACTATTCATTAACATTTCAACAGTATGATGTGCTAATCATCCGTAATCCAATATAAGTTCAATTCCAAACATTAGGGAATTATAAATCTTGAAAAAAGAACATCCTACTAAATGAATGTTTGAAAGAAATCGGTAGAAATTATTTTAATCAAATCCGACTTATGAATTAACTACACATACTATAATAGTTATAGGTTATACTACTTAAAACCTAATATTAGTAATAATATTCGGTTAACTTGTTCTGAGAACTACTGCCGTAAATTACAGATCAATTATTGCAATTTAAAATGTTGTTTATCAACCAAAAACGACTGTCCTGTGTAAATCTCTTATGCAATTTTTGTTAGACATCTTAAAGTGTTACTAAATATTTGCTCACTAATAAAGTTGACTACCTACTGATTAATGCTACTTCTCAAGATGTCAAATTGACTGAGCAGAAAATAACATTTTAATGAATCACAGTGACTGGTCCTCCACTACTAACGACTATCGGTATTGAAATCAGTGTAATCGATATGTGTTTTCTGTCACCAATATGTTAAGCAATACAACGAAGTGATATACTATTTATCATTATAATCATTGAGTTAGGTTTATTCATCTATAAACCATGGTTTTATTCATCGTTTGTTAATTAATGGATCAAAATGTGTATTTTGTGTTGGGTTTTTTCTGTTCATCCATTTCTAGAAGCATCATTTTGGATAAGAAACAATTAAAATCATTATGAAATAGTAGTTCATCATATTTCGTACATTTACAATGTCGTTTAATAATGAAACTTATAATTTATCAACCTCATTATCTAATGAGACTGAAAAATTAACCAGAATAACTAATGACAATTGTTCATTGTTCAGTAATTACGAATTCATTAAATTATCAAATTCTTATCCATCTCTTAATTGGAATAGTAATATCAATAGCCATGACATCACATATACAAAATCGAATTTATATACAAATGAATTACAAACTGAATTGAATTCACTAACAGAATCAAATAGATTTCATTCCATTAAATGTATAAACTATGACAAAGAAACTTTGCCAAATATGAATACTGGAAATCCATTAGACTATTCTATAAATTCTTTAATCAATAAGAAAGAAAAATCAGTATCACCAATAATCAAATCATCTTTTTTAACTGATTCTAATTCTAGTCATAATTTAATTCAATATTCAAATGGAAATAATAACATGTGCAACACATCACCATCTACTTGTTCAATTGAATACACTTCGAATTCAATAAAAAATGAGATCAAAAGTCCTAAAATGAATGAAAAACTTACATTGAAACGTAGATATTCCAAAAATCTTTCAAATTCATCTACTAAACATTCTAAGAAGTATATGAGAGTAGATTATAACAATAGTACCGGCCAAAATAGTTTCATTATTGATAACAATAACCAAAATAATAGCACCGGTCATTTTTCAACGACTAAACAATTATACACCGATAATTTAGTTAAAGATACATCAGCTTTAAATAGAACTATTGTTTCTACAATCGAATGGGAAACGCATAATAATAATAATACAGATTTTAAAGGGTATAATAAAAATTCCATAGATACCATAAAATTAAGTAAAACTGTCCAGTCAGATGACCAAAATATTCTATTTAATGATAACCACAATGAAATCAATGTTAGTAATGATAATGATAATAATGATACAAAAATGAATACAATCTCCACAGGAGCTTATAAATATTTAACTTGGCGTGAGAAAGATCGTAGACGAAGATTTCGTGAAGAATGGAAACATTTATGGCTTGTTATACCATATGGACGTTATGAGGTCAGTTATCCATATTAAGTTTTAATTTATAAAGAAGTAAGATAACTTATTTTGTAAACGCTTAAAGCTAACTATAAATGTATCAGTATTTCATAAAATTTAGGGCATGATATTCTTAGAGCAGTGTGGTCGATTTTATTCTTATACATTTAGACATACCAGTTAAATCATTAGTCTGGCTTCAAAAATCCTGAAACTATTCGATCAATTTAGTAAAATATCCATAAATAAAATAGATCAACTAATAATATGTGCAATTTAAGTGAAGCAAACAGTTTCTTTTAAAGAATTCAATACTCCTGGTGATTAAATTTATTCCATTTAATCAATAGGAGACTTCAATTAAAGAGGTCTATAGCATCACATAAATGATATTCCAGTCATTTTTACTGTTAATTTTGTCATTCTAATGTAGATGGTCAGATGATTAGATGTTTGAAGATTAGAATAGTTTGTAATATATATTTTATTAAATATTACTGAATGGTTGAAGGATTCATATTATGCTGTACTTGATAATGATTTGGACAATCTGAACACACCGTGTACATACGTTCTCCCGAAATATTTCAAGTCTGTAACTAACTGCATACATTTTTAAAAGACAAAAAACACAAAATGTGACAAGTTAGTGACTTTTCAACAGAGTAATGAATCAATATTATTACAAGTATTTATCAACAAGACAGAAACCAGAGGATACATCTATATTTTATGGTACAGTTCAACAATGAGACAGTAGTAATTTTTAAAATGTATGTAAATATATTTTTGAAACAAAAAAAAGACAAAGTGAGAGGAAAACTAACTTAATTAACTAGACAGATGAATGAATACTCAAAAGAATGTATCAGTAGTAGTAGTAGTAGTAGTAGTAGTAGTAGTAGTAGTAGTAGTAGTAGTAGTAGTAGTAGTAATAGTATGTATAATATACCATTAAACATCTCCTATATACAATCATACATGTCAATATTTGCTATAAAAATGTGGTATACTGTTTATATACTACAGCTCATATTTGTATTAGTCTCAATTCACTTTGACTAAACTGTCATTTATACTATGCATCAATTACAATTTTATTATTCTGTTTTTCTTCCTTAGACGAATTATTTATTTATGATTGACAATATTCTTTATATTACACTTTTATGAGTATGGTGATCTATCATAATGCACGCACATTCACACACACACTCTGTCTCTCATACACACACACACACAAGCACAAAAACACTTGTCATCAATAAAACTAAATTTAATCTTTAAAAATTGTAACTACCATTATAAAATACCCTATATGATTCATATAAATGTACTTTATATTGAATATGTATACAATTTATTTCTTAAAATATATGTTAGTGACAAGTATGGTACAATTAAAATGATGGACATGCTTATAAATGGAAATATATGATAAGTAATTGAGGATGATGAATACATTATATATGTACTATTAAATAGTAATTTATGTGAGGTAATTTATGAAGGTTTATTTTTCTTGATCAGACTAATTTTTAATTGAACCAAACAAGTGAATTTAAAGAAGAAAGAATAATGAACTAATATTAAAACTGTATCCATTAGATATCTGAACTCAATTATTAAGGATTTCATACAAGTTAAGATAACTAAAGTAGTATAATTCGATTGTATGAGTAGTAATTACATATTTTTAATGGATTTGATAATTTATATTAGATATAACCTTTTATTTGAATAATAAGTCTTATCACCATTGGATACTGGCCCAGTGCTCTAGTAATTTAGCGCGAGACTGATAGGTCCTGGGTTCGAATCTCGCGAGGCAGGATCGTGGATGCGCACTGATGAGGAGTCCCACAATGGGACGAAACGGCCGTCCAGTGCTTCCGGGTTTTCCATGATGGTCCAGCTTCAAATGACTCACGGATTCAACTATTAAATTATCAGTATATATTTGACAAGCTCAATTTGAGAAAATGCGGTTTTGCCTATATGTCAAATACAGAATTTCGAATATAAGTCCAGCCGTAATTAGAAGTTTTTATTTAGCCACTGGATTTGAATAACGATAGCACACACACACACGTACTCCTTCACATGGCACATTTTGAACACAATTTAGATCGAATACCTCATATCCTTATCATAAATAAACATTTGAACGGGATAAGAAAAGTGTTTAATACAGTAATAACTTCGGTCTGATTTATTCTCGTTTATTTTAATTACTCTCCTGACAAAGCTCGAACCAGATTACCAGCTTAAATGTTGAAATGAATTATTCAAATTTGAATTGATGAAATTATTTTAAATATAATTTAGCATCTGATATTTTTTTTGTAAGCAATTATGGATAGTGGCTAGCAGTGGAATCCAGGACGCGCGTTTCGTCCTGTTTGGGACTTGTCAGCTGGATGTACCTGCATCACAGATTTGATGTTCACTCTGGGGCTCGAGCGCCATCGCGTTATCCACTCAGCTACTGAGTCCTGATAGCCACTTGCTTGTGCAACGGGGTGAATTTAAATTCACTTGGTATTATTTAGCTTTGTTTTTACATATTTGTTTGTTTAAATTTGAGTTATATATAACAACTTAAAACCATTAAAACTTTATTTTTAAGGTTATGTGCCTTGTATGTCACAAAATTATGACACAAAGAAAATTAGATACAATTAAACGTCATAATGTTCGACGACATGGTGAATTACAAGGAATGTCTCATATAGAAAGACAAATCTTATTTGATAAACTATTAAAACAACATAATGAAACAATGACAAATACATCTGATATTTTGTCAAATAAGCTATCTAGTAAATCGAAACCTAAATATAAATCTACATCTGATAATAATACAATTAACTTTTTAAATGGTAAAGATTCAAATGAAATGGTCAATGATTTAATACAACATGCAAACAATTGGTTAACTAATCCGAATTCTGAAATAAATCAAGTACCGAATCCGATTATGAAAAGTTATTCTTCATCAACTAATTTACCATTTTCTGATCATATACCATACAAAAGAAATAAAAGATTGTTTAATAAAAAAGATAAAAAGTTGTATACAACTACTGAATTAATAGAAAATACTACAAACAAAAAAAATAAACGTTTACCAAAAAGGTTACAAAAAGACAATTCACATTGTTCTTTATCTAATTCTACAGAAAACTTAAATGATCATTATAACTTATCTGTCAGTACAAATCCTCTTGAAAGATTATCATTTATTGGATGGAAGAATTATTCTGATGCATTAGATATTTCCAATTTAGGAGATCAATTAAAAACAAGATCCGATAAGAAAACATTTGTCTCCAATGTTACATCATCAATTTCAATGATTCAACCATTATCATCAGTTTCAACAATATCTCATCTATCAACTAATTGTTCTTTACCATCTCTTTCAAATTCTTCATTTGTTTTACCATCTAATTATGAGATAGAAAAATTGAAACAATTTATAAAGCCTTTTATTTCATTAAATTATAATCTATTTTCACAATCATTATTATCATCATTACCACCTACAAAATTACCAACATCATGTCATACAATGGATAATTCAAATAAATTTATAATGCCTAGATTAAGCAATGAATTAAATTGTACTACTGTAGGTGGTGATATATTGCATACTAATTTGATGAATTCAATCAATAAAGGAAATCAAAATATTCGACTTGATATTGAAGAACACATTGTAATGAATGAATATAACAAAATAATGTCAGATGAATCTTCAGAAAGAATAGTCGATGAAAAATTAAATGATAAGAATTATCCATCAAACAGTAATAAGAATAAGAATAATAATACGAGTAAGGAAATATCTCCGGTAAACCAGTCTAATCTATTAAATGTTAATGAAAGTTTAAAACGCTTAAGATCATCATCATCATCATCACATTCGTCAAATGATCCAGTAAGTTTATTTATAGGATACCATGTATTTTTATTTATATCCACATTGGTAAACTAATATTAGGTACATTAACATTTGTTAGTGATCAAAAAGTGCTATCTCTGAGAGTTAAAGTAAGGCGAACAATAAGAAGTTATTGTGAAAGGCTAACATGATATAATGGAATTTAAAAAAGTAGCTTATGAATACAGAGTTGCTAAATAGAAATAAATCCTCCTTAGGATATCTTTTTTAGGGATGTTTTTGTGAATTATACAAACAGTAAGCTATGTTTTTTGTATATAATTAGGTGAATTTTGCAATAACTTGAACCATATGTCTATATAAGGATAGGTCCTGGGTTCGGATCCCGCGGGGTGTCGGATCATGGATATGCACTGCTGAGGAGTCCCATACTAGGATGAAACGGTCGTCCAGTGCTTTTAGGTTTTCCATGGTGGTCTAGCTTCATTTGACTCATAATTTCAATCAGTGGAATTTCTTAAATCTCCACAAAACCCATTCTGATATAAGGATTTCTTTAACATGGATTAATGTCAGTCACTAAGTTTCAAGGATAGTTTTCGAGAAAAGCTGCAATCAGTATACAAAATAGTGACGAGAAGTAAATATATGTAAATAATACACATGAATAATAATGAATTATACCTCAGGATTTGTAATAAAGGGATATTATTTGAAAAATGACACCATTCATTCTTTTGTATAAACTATTTATAATTCGATAACCCTAAACATCCTGTTTTTCCTATGAGATGCATTGGTTACTTATTCTTAAACTCTTTAATGGACATACTAAATTAGATTGTTTGACGTAACCGAAAAGTCAGTTTAGAGACTGAATGTCAAATATAATATCACTGGTAGGAAAATAGGTCTATCACTTATATTTCTAATCAGTACTAATCAAACACTGAACAATACTGTATTATTTGGAAACCGTGCATTAGGCAATCAAAGATATTTTGTAAAAGAAAATAATACTAATTTTACAAATGGAACTTACAGAAACAGTTTCTATTAAATAGCTATAGTTTTTCTCAGGGGAGGGAACTGTTGACTATTTCTGAATTACTCGTATTTTAATTACCATTATTTTAAACGACTTTAAGTGAACTTTCTATTAACCAGTATATGGAACTATTAACTAACTATGACCTATTCATTGATATATTTTATCAATAGAATCCAAATATCGCTGAACTATCTTCATTCATGATAGCTTCTTGGATTGAATCTATTGAAAATTCATCAAAAACCTTACATTCAAATTTACCTGAACCTACTTGGAATATTCAATCAATAAATGATTCAAATCAATTAATTATCACTAAACCAATAGAAAGATTCACTTCTTCAAAATGTTCAATAGACCAATTTCAGTATGATCATGATCATGAAATCAATCAACAAACTATTCATTCAACAGATTTTAAATTAAATACAAAATCTAATTCGAATTTAAATAAATTTACTATTTCATCTTTATTGAATACAGAAATAATGGATAAGACAAAAATTGGATCAGAAATGATAGAAAATGATAATTATATTCATACATTTCAAAAATGTAATCAGAAACAAGAAACTACAAAAATTATATCGAATCCTCAATGTCTTTCATGACATTTGTTGTTGTTGTTGTTGTTGTTGTTGTTTAATCTGATCTATCGGGCTATGTATATATGTATTTATGCACAAAAATGTCTTGGTAACCAGTAATACATTCGAAACAGATTGATACCATTCAAAAGAGAATAATTAAGTTATATTAATGATACAAATTAGTGTGATTCTATGGATTATTTTATGAATTAAGATCAGAATATCAACTATCTTTGAACTTAGAAACTATACGACTATAATTAGAATAAATTAATTTCATTTAGGATAATACATACTACTCATTATATTGTCATTATTGTATTATTGAAATTAATTGAAGCTTCAGAAATACAATAAGTCTTTATGTGCATTATTAAAACAATTTCCTGAGAATGTTCAGTCATAAATGTATTTTTATGAATAATAAATATTGGCTGATAATTAAAAGAGAGTAAGTCATTGTTTACCTTTATTACAAAATGATTTTCGAGTAGTTTATGATTCATATAACTTTATAGACTATTAAATCAACATCTGAGAGGAAGCATGGGATACAGTGGACAGCTAGAATGCAGCTGGACGATCTAGACTTCGCAGATGATCTGGCTTTTCTATCGCACACGCAACAACAAATGTAGGAGAAAACGACCAGTGTAGCAGCAGCAGTAGGTCTCAATATACAGAAAGGGAAAAGCAAGATTCTTCGATACAAAACAGCATGCACCAATCCAAAAGATTTGGAAGATGTAAAAACTGTTATATATCTGGGCAGCATCATTGATGAACACGGTGGATCTGATGCAGGTGTGAAGGTGCAGATCGGCATAGAAAGAGCAGTATATCTAAAACTAAAGAACATCTGGAACTCAAAACAATTGGTAACCAACACCGAGGTCAGAATTTTCGATACAAATGTCAAAACAGTTCTACTGTATAGGACGGAAATTTGGAGAACTACTAAAGCCATCATCCAGAAGATACAAGTGTTTATTAACAGTTGTCTATACAAAATACTTCGGATCCGTTGGCCAGAAACTATCAGCAACAACATACTATGGGAGAGAACAACCAGATCCCAGCGGAGGAAAAAAATCAGGAGGAAGCGCTGGAAGCGGATAAGACAGACATTGAGGAAAGCATCCAACTGTGTCACAAGGCAAGTCCTCACATGGAATCATAGAGGCCAAAAGAGGAGAGGAAGACCAAAAAACACATTGTGACGAGAAGTGCAGACAGATGAGAAAAGAACGAACAAACATTGGATAGAACTAGAAAGGAAGACCCAGGGCAGAGTGGGTTGGGGAGTGCTGGTCGGCAGCCTGTGCTCCATTGGGAGTAACAGGCATAAGTAATTAATAGACTATTAAACAATCGAAATGAGGTCTATATTTTAAAGTTGACATTTTTATAACAAATGAATTATCAAGTACCTATGATGTAATCTCTGTGACGATTGTAAAACTCATATTGTGTTCATTCATATCATGAAAATATAGTCTACATAAAATGGAACTAATTAGTTCTAAAACAGGGAAAAATACAAACTTGTAAAAGTTATGTAATCTTCATCATAGATTAATATCAACCGGAAAAAAGTGATCAAGTCTGTGTCTTGTTATCAATGTCCATTTATTACTTTGAATTAGATTAATCCTAACAACTATATGTGTCAAACATACTAAATTATCAAAATGTATTTGTCTATTTTGTGAAGTTATAATCAAAAACAGAGATGATTTTGTGTAAAATGTGAATTTTTTGGTTTTTTCTAATTTTGTAAATAGTAATAATAATTATAATCACTGGGTGGTGATCAATGTCATGTATGTCCTGTCCTTCTTAGTGCAGATCGAATCCTATCAACCAAATTGCAATGTGGCCCCACCAGTCTAGATAACACTACATTGTGTGCACTATGTTGAGATAAGACCTAAGCACAAAACCTAGGTCCAGGGTTTCATGTTGACTACCTTTAACCACCATCTTATCTCAACATAGTACACGCAATATCGGGTCACTTAGACTGGTGGCCACATTTCAGCTTGGTTAATAGGATTCGATCTGCACTAAGAAGGACCTAACATACTTAATGATCAATCAATTGCAAATACATCTCAGTCCTACAGGAGGTCAGTCGCGGCCCGGAAAGCTCAGTAGTAACGCCTTTGACTGTGAAGCTGGGTGACATGGCATCGAAACCGTCAGGGAGCATCAGTTCCCTTAAGATTACAGGCACACCTTGTTGACCAGTGCCAAATAGCACAAAACTTAGGTCCAGGAATCCCTATTGACTACTTTCAATCACTATCATATTTGTAAATAATATTTGAATTATTTAGCCTTTATTTCTTGTTACTACCTTACAGATATCTAAAAAATGGACAAAACAATCAATTCATCTAATAATAAATACACTTTAATTATCCCACAGAAGAAAAAAACAAACATCCCTTAGTGATACCAAAGTACATACATGATCTTTCAAATGTGATTAATAACTATAAATAAAAGAGTTAAATTTTCTAACGAAAAAAGAACAACAAAACAACTGAGAACAAGTTAATTGAATATAATTAATACACAATCAAAACTCATTTAAATCTTTTATTCATTTACAATATCAAATCCTGTAATATACCAACAAAGAATAAGTAAACATAATAATAACTTATAGATTCCATTTGTTTATCATTTATTATGTTCAATAGTGTAAACAATCATTAAAACTTACTAGTAACAAGTTGTTGATCCAATGATACAATGTAAAGATGACTTAAGATTTATAATGTATGTTTCAAAGTAATTGTGATCCTGTTCTTTCTAAGATCAAAACTATCGAATAATCTAAACTTATTGTTATTGTTTCGAAAAAGTTTCATTGTTCGTTTTTTTTTTTCAAAGCATATCCTGATCTACTTTTTGTACAGGATTTCAATATCCTTTTAAAAAAACAAAAAAGTTTCAAACTAAACGAATCATTTTATAACTTATCAATCATTGATTGTTCCTTTTCTTTTTCTCAGCTCCCTTTTTTGGATGTTCCAATGGATTACAATGTAAGAAACGATCGATATTATGTAATTATATCTTCATAGAATTTATTATGTTGTTAGGAAATTTCATTTTTATAGATCTTGGAGGTATTCTCCTTCCTCTTCTTCTTCTTCTTCTTCTTCTTCTTGTTCTTTTTCCATGAATACTAAACTATATTCCATGATAATGATACATTTTTATAATAAAATCTATATTGACTAGACTCATTACGTAATTCATGAAAAGATGTAAAATAAAACTGAAGTTTATTAATGTATGACATAAGAGTTTCTAAATTATTATTTTAGTAAAATGTTTGTCATCAATTTTGCTAATCTAGTCTGTTTATCTTGTGGACATATTAAAATAACTAAATTGATATGAAAAAACAAGACTTAAATTTTTATGACTTTTCAAAATCATAGAAACGTTAAGTCTTCTAATTGAACGTTAGATTCAATTCCTAAACTTTTCCATTAATCCCCAGGCTAAATCTACACAGAGAATCGAACATAAGAGAAAAGGTGTGAACCATGAAAGAAATGCTTTAATCCAAAGATTCATTTACGTACAGAAAATCTAGGGTATTTATGGTATTTTGGGTGGCCTTGGGCTTCGGAAAATTCCGGAACGCTACTAAATATAGTAACAGTATAAGTAGTCATTTAGTCAGAAATGTGATATGTGACTTTTCACTTTCTAGACGTTTCTGGCAAAACCTCTATTGAATGCTGATTGGATAAGATGTTTCTCAGCGTTTTCAGAGCCTTTTTTGGAGTCTTTTGAAGAATTTCCTAATTCTCCTCAACAAAAAACTTATTGCTTCAGAAGTTAACAGTGTATCACTTGTCTCGGTTTTAACAGTCTAAATTCAAGTTACCTAGAGTAGTAATTACAGCTTAGATTAGATAATATATTTTACTCAAGCTTTTAGTTGCATCTAAAAAAGTATGGTGGCCGGAATAAAAATCAGATACATAATTGCTTTCTTAATACGAATATCCATCCAATATAGGAATACTACCGAGGAGTCACATACTAGGGCAACATGGCCTACAAGTACTTCCACGTTTCTAATGGTGGTTTAGAAAAGATCGATTCGTGATTTTAACTGTTAAAATATTACGATCTCCACAAATCCCTTTAACTAACAATAATCGTATATTCACTAGTGACTAGTTTCACTATGTAGCATCTAGAGTTCTATTAAGAAACTATGACCAATCGAGTTCAATCCATATCGAGTGTGAAACAGTTACCCATCTCACCCAATGGATGAGGGTTGCAAAATGTCGTGAATTAATTTAGGTTGGACTCGAACACCTTATGATCCTAGCTCACTGTTCGGGAGGTTAAGCATTCGCGTGCGAGACTGAAGGTACTGGGTTCGAGTCCCTGTGGTGAGGTCGTGAATGGGCACTAATAAAGATTCTTACATTAGGAAGAAACGGCCATCCAATGCTTCCAAGTCTCCAATGGTGTCCTAGCTGTGGCTGACTGTGGCGACATACTGTAATTAAAAGAAGAACAAACTGTAATCGCTAAAGAAATTTGATAATTTTAGAATGAAACTGCTTTTTATATTTATATCACATGAATATATAAATTCTTGTGATTAGAAAAATCTTCAGAATGGAACAAAACTTCCAAGATCTTCGTGAACACCATAGATATGATTGCTTTCTTAATCAGTGGATAAAATAAATGTAAGTGGGCTATACAAGGTGTATCTGTAGTCAATCATTTATAAAAAAACATCTTTATTAATAGTATCAATAATGTGTTATATGAAAGTTTAACTTTGATTACGTTCGTTGAGTACACTAACGCATGTTTTACATATATTTAAAAGAACTGCTCAACATGTGCGTCTCCGACGATATATATTCAATTAAAACTAGAATCGTTGAACAGCCGTTTAGTCCTTAGCCTAAAACTCCTCAGCAGTACGCACCCACGATCCCGCATGCCGTATTCGAGCTCAGGACCTTCGGTCACGCGTGGGAACACGGTACATGACCTCAATCCAAACCAGAAACACTAGAATCACTTGAAGTTTCATCCATAAACAGAGCATACATTTAATACTTTGATTTCTAAATAAGAGAGATGATGCCAA